CCAGGCGCCCCCACAATTTGAGATTTCAAACATTAGCTTCTCTTTCTGTCACTTTCCTTTTAAAGAAATAAATAATCAGAATGCTAGAAACCAAGTAAACCAAGAGGCCATGTGACCTCATCTTCTATCTTTGTCAACTAACTATAGGTTGCAACCTATTTTGTTTAGATTCTGGGTACTGTTAGAATCCCCCGGAGAATGTCAGTTATTATTTTGTTTTGTTTTGGCCATCACTCACGGTGCTAGTTCCGTCTTGCCTCCCATGGGCAGTGATTTGGATGGCAATTCAGAAGTTCGAGTCAATGGCAGAGAGGTGAACCAATTTGGCCAAAGTTGCTTAGAAAGATAGAGCCGGGCTGGCTGCCAGGCTTCATGTTCCTAGTGTTCTTTCTAAGACATGTGCCTTCTCTGGACTTTACCTTAACCTCCCAGACTCTCACTTCCCCTTAGGCAGCAGTGGGTAAGCAGAAAGTACTCAAACCAAGCTGATGCATGAGCCAGTCTTGTGATGGTTCCCTGTCTGATCTCTGGCCTTCTCTGGAATCTGTGCTGTTGGTCAGAGTGAAGCAACAGAGACAGGGCTTCTGTCTTCCATTCCTAATAGAGGAGTGATCGCTTCACAGCACTAGAGGCTAACACATTGAATGCTTCCTATAAATGACTGCATCAGCTCACCCTAAGGCAAGGAGTGTCTAAGCCCCTGCCATTCTCTTTACCATTTCCCGCTTGTGCCTGAGCTTTGGGAACAATTGAAAGGATCTGTCTATAAATATTTTCCAAAAATTTGCTTCCAGTTTTGATCATTCACCTAACAATTGGTTTTGAATATTCAAAACATTGTAGCTCAAACAGTTCTCTAGTATTGTTGTTTATATGCTCGTTTCTTCGCTTGTGGATACATGCAATTGACATAACCAGATCCCTTGGGTTCAAATCTTGGCTCCCTTTCTTGCTAGCTATGTGGGATTGAGCTCTTTGGGTTTGTTTCCTGATATATAAAATGAACAAATAATAGTCCTGCCTCCATGAGGTTTGTTTGAACATTTGAAAAGACGGTGCATATGAGGTATCTTAGAGTAGTATCATTTGTTCTTATGGTTTAAGAGATTTTGTTTTCTTGGATCTTAAACAACCACAGACAGTAGAAAACAACAGATAGTAGTAATTTATGAGAGATGTTACCAATCTGTTCTTTCCTTTTTTAAATTTTTTTTTATTTTTGAGCTAACCATATTCTATAAGATTTTCTGTTCCTTTTGTTTTCCCAAATCATTTTTCCCTCTTGTTTTGTGAACAGAACCTGTTCCCCGTTGGACACCAGTGGGTTCCAAGTCTCATTTGGACTTTATTTTTTCTATTCTTTATGCTTGTTAAGGATTTCAGGATGGTGGGAGTTAGGAGTAAAGTCCTGGAAAAGAATGCAAAGAGACCAGTCTGATTTCTAAACTATGGCCGCTAAAAAATGTGCTTAAAAAAAAACTAACATTGGTCTTTTTTTTTTTTTTTTATCTTTTCATTTTGGATTTTAAGAGAATGGGCACTTGGCAATGAATCCCAGGTTTCAAGCCTCCTAACAAAAGATTTCTGCAGCACCATTTATTTCTAAGGGTGGGAGTCTGTGGCACAAAGACCAGTGTCTTTCCTTGGTGGCAAAGATGAGTTGCATAAGGGTCCCTCTCAGCTCACTGGTAATGGTATTTCTGCTGTTGTCCCCCAGGAACAGCACAGAATCTTGTGTAGATGATTCGTGTTAATGCTCTGCCTCAGAGATGACCAGGCTCACCCTGAAGTTAGAAGTTGCCCTTGGGGTTCAAGGTGAAAATCTCAGGCTGGTCTCCAGTTGTTTTCCATTGGCTTGACTTAAACATGGTTACTGTAACTTACATTCATAAAATGTGTAAATTTTACATGCTCAGCTCAACAGATTTTTACGTATGAGCTCATACATGTAGTCTCCACCCAGATCCAGAAACAGAACATTTCCATTCCCCTAGAGGGTCCCCCCACAGCTTCATTTATTCCTAGGAGTAATTGCCATCCTGACTTCTGTCATCATAGATGCATTGTGCCTGCTTTTTAACTTTGTATAAGAGAAATGCTAAAGGAGATACTGTTTTATGCCTGGCTTCTTTCACACAGCATCGTATCTATGAGATTCATCCAGTTGCGTCTGGAGCTGCAGTGTGCTCTTTTTCATGGAGTGAAATCTCCCGTTTCTGAATTCCATTTTCTGGATTCCACTGTATGAATATATCCTGGTCTCCATTCCGTTGGGATGGGCCTTTGGATGGTCTCCAGTTTGAGGCTGTTATGAATCATACCTCTATCCATATTCATGTACCGTCCCAATTAATGATTGGCAGGACTTCTGCCCCCGTTGGTGACCTCATTCTAACAAAGTGGTGGTCACCTATAACCATGAATGGAGCTTGTGTAACCTTTAGACAGAGAGGATTAAACTGGTGAATGTTTATAAAGCACCTTGAACTTTAGAATTAAGAGGCCATTTACTTTGGAAAGCAATGTGATTGTTGAAAACAGTTGTGCAGCCTCAAGCAAGCCATTAGACATCTCCAAATCTCTGCTTCCTCATTTGTAAAATAACATTAGTATTATGCAAAAATAAGAGAGTTGTTGTAAGAATTAGATGAGCTAATAAAATAAAGCACTTAGAGCCTAGCCCAACTGAATTCTTGGTGTGAATTGCTATTATCGGCTTTTCAACGTAATGGTCATTTAGGGTAAAGTCAAAGATGCTATTAGGTCACACAAGTTTATTAACACAGAATAACCAATGAAGACCAAGTAATTTGTTTCAATGCCAGATGTCAAGTAAAAACGTTCTGTTTTTCTTCTTACTTTATAAACTCTTTTGTTTCAATCTTGATTCCTATAGATATATAAAGCTCTACATTTAAACAAAGATCTCCTGGGGCGCCTGGGTGGTGCAGTTGGTTAAGCATCCGACTCTTGATCTGAGCTCAGGTCATGATCTCACAGTTTGTGAGTTTGAGCCCCACATCAGGCTGTGCACTGACAGTGCGGAGCCTGTTTGAGATTCTCTCTCCCTCTCTCTGTCCCTCCCCTGCTTGTGCTCTCTCTCTCTCTCTCAAAATAAATAAACTTTAAAAAAAAAAATAAAATAAACAAAGATCTCCTGGATAGGATATGGACTTGGAGGAACAACAACAACAACAAACTTGGGCTCGGGAAGCAGCTCATTAACTTTATCATGAGCTCGAATTCTGTATGGGAAAATTGTTTTTGGTGTTTGTGCATCCAGCCTAGATTTCTAATAATAGGTGATAATTTGGATGCAGTGTGATTTGATCCAGTGTCAGGAATCCCCAATGCCAGAGAGATAATGGTTTCCAATTTCACAAGGAAATTGGGCTTCCAAAATGGAATCACCTTAAAGTCTCATAAATGAAGTCTGGCTACCCAGGTGGCTTTGATGAGAATGTACAAACATTTGAGATTGGAAAACTGATGTTGCAAAAGCAGAGAGATTATTACTGTATAAATCATCTTTAGGCTGGATCTCCAGATTTATGGTCATTTTACTGTCAGCCAAGAAAGCGACTTCATTGGGCAACCATTCAAAGAGGGGGAAAATAACGCCTTCCACACCTAATGGTATTTCCAAACTCTGACCAGAAACACATTTCAGCGTTTTTAAAATTTTTATTTTGAAATCATGTCAGACATACAGAAAAGTTGCAAAAATAATGCAAAGAAATCATGTCTACCCTTTACTCTAATACCCTGCACGTTAGCGCCTTGTCACATGTTTGCTCTCCTTTCTCTTTGCTTACACGCACATGCAGGCACACACATACACCCTCCCTTCCCCCGCTGAACCATTTCAGAGTTAGTTGCAGACATGGTGTCCCTTTACCCCTGAATGCCCAGTGCATATTTCCTAAAAGCAGAGACATCTTGTTACAAAAATACAGTAAAATTAACACGGATTGAGTGTTCACAGTATTACCTAACCTGCAGATTTTATTCAGATCTCATCTGGTGTCCCACCAATGCTCTTTATAGCAGACAAAGAATTTTTGGTCCAGGGGTGCCTGGGTGGCTCAGTCGGCTGAGCGTCCGACTTCGGCTCGGGTCATGATCTTGCAGCTGACGAGTTAGAGCCCCGAGTCGGGCTCTGTGCTGACAGCTCAGAGCCTGGAGCCTACTTCTGATTCTGTGTCTCCCTGCCTCTCCCCCGCTCATGCTCTGTCTCTCTCTGTCTCAAAAATAAACACTGAAAATAATTTAAAGAATTTTTGGTCCAGAATTCAATCTAAGATTACACATGTATTTAGGTGAATTTATTTCCTCAGGAAATATTTTGAGAAATCTTGAATCTTTCCTTGTATTGTATTGTATTGTATTGTATTTTTATTTTATTTTATTTTTATTTGCGAGAGAGAGCAAGTGGGGGAGAGGGGCAGAGGGAACGAGAGAGAATCTTAAGCAGGTTCCATATTCAGCATGGAGCCTGACGTGGGGCTCGATCCCACGATCCTGGGATCATGACCTGAGCCAAAATCAAGAGTCAGACGTTCAACCAACTGAGCCACTCAAGCGCCCCTTGAATCTTCCCTATTAGCAAATCTGTCCTTTAAAATAACGTATTTACTAACCTGTCAACTGGATTATCAGTGGAGGACTGGGTCAAAAGAATGTCTTCTTGAATATTCACCTGTGCTCATGGAGGAGGAGTGTAAAAGTGGTTAAAACAAATATGTTTTGTTGTATTGACTGCCTGCAAAAGGAACTGTAAGACTTTATTAGGGAAGATTCGCTTTCCCTGGCTTTACAGAAAACGTGTTGCAGTGTGGGGGGCAGTAGCACTGCTAAGCTTTGTTGGTGGGCAGGTATGAAGTTATAACTTGTCTGCCCTATAACCAATGCAGAGTTCCAGGTGTCCATTCCGAGAAAGCAGACCTTGCATTTCTTCTTCCTTCAGACAATGGTTACAGTAGCTGCACTTTCTTTGGCAGATGTGGTGCTGGAAAAAGCCATGCACAAGTGCATCTTAAAGCCCCTGAAGGGGCACGTGGAGGCCATGCTGAGGGACTTCCATATGGCCGATGGCTCGTGGAAACAGCTCAAGGAGAATCTGCAGCTTGTGCGGCAGAGGAACCCACAGGAGCTGGGGGTGTTCGCCCCAACCCCTGATTTTGTGGATGTGGAGAAAATCAAAGTCAAATTCATGACTATGCAGAAGATGTATTCGCCGGAAAAGAAAGTCATGCTGCTCTTGAGGGTCTGCAAGCTTATTTACACTGTCATGGAGAACAACTCAGGTGAGGCTACCCGAAGTCCAGGCTTCTTGTACTCCCCACCACGGCCAGTGACGTGGCTGGCGATGTGGCCAATGACACCTCAGGCTTTCTGATTCCCAATTTCTCTTTCTTTCAACCTCTTGATTTCACCAAACAGCCCACAGTATTAGGCTGGTATCTGGCAAATTGGTCACTTGCAATAGATTGGTAACACCAAGAAAAGTAAGCGGTTGAGGAGACAAGATTCTTGTATGATACCAATTTGTTGAAGGTTTAGTTCAAGGCAGTGGATGCAGATTCAGTCTCTGGTGACTGAATTCACGTCCTCACTCTGTGAATGAGTTAATTAACTATGGGCTTTGGCTACCTTAATCTACTTCTAAGATGCAGTTTCTATACCTGTCACTGAATATGACCCTGTCCTTCATAAGATGGGGGTTAGATGAGGCAATGCACATGTAGCCCCAAGCATGATGGAAATATTAGCAATTATTTATCATTACCACATTTAGGCCAATGAGGGTTTGTGTCCATGATCTATATCCAGCATGTGTCAAACATAGAGTATTCAGTAACCATGTGGTTTCATTACAGCTGTTTCATTGGTTCTTCCTTCTTTGCTACAAGTTGACATAATGTAATTGAATTCACAAAAGAATTACATAGTTCGAAAGTAAGCCCTCAGATTTCGTCAGTTTACTTCTTCGAGATGCAGAAGTAGCCATATTCATGGCTAGTGACTGGACCCTGCATAGTTCCAGGGCTTCAGTGAGCTTGTTGTAATTCCATGGATGATTATCAACTTTTCCTCTAAGTAAAATTGCTTCATGGAGAAGCAGCAGAGAGAACACACAGGATGTATTAACCACTGCTTGGGTAGATAGGAATGTGTGTGTGCTTTGCACATTGTTGGGCAGAGGCATTAAAATGTGAGCCCCTGAGCTGGTCATGATAGCATATGAACATGACCTCTGAAATTTGCAAACATAGTTCACATGCAGGAAGTATATTTTCTGTAGTTCAGGCAATCACTTATGTAAGTTCAAAAATAGTGTCTTCACAGGATTATATTCTTCCAAAGCACAGTGTCTCAACCTTAGCACTAATGACATTTAAAATGGATAATTCTCTGTTGTGGGGGCTGCTTCCTGTATGGAGTTCTTCAGCATCCCAGATGTCATTTGCACCCCACCCTCTATTCATGACAATGAAGAATGTCTCCAGACAATGCCAAGTCCCCCTGGGTGGTGTCGGCACAATCACCCTGAGTTGAGACTCACTTTTGTAATGAAAAGTAGCAATAAGGACTGCATTTTTTTTTGCTATATATTAATCATATGTATCTATTCGACATATACTGAATTTTTACATTTAAATAAATTAACTGTGTGCTCATGTTGAATGCAGAGCAAAGCTTGTTCCTGGTCCGAGTTTGGTCCTGTCATTATGTTGATGATTGATTTGCACAGAAAATAACAGGGAACACAGTAGAATTCACAAAGGATTAAACAGAGTAGATACTTAGTAAATGTTTTATAACATTACTTGCTGAAAGTTAAACTGTTTACAGGTACTCTGTTCTATTGTATAACCTGATGCATATCGTGAAAGCATGGAGGAAATCTTTCTTGTGTTCCTTGACTCATAGATATTTCATTCTGAAATTTTGTGTTAGGATTGGTCTCTAACATGAGCAGCCAAGAGGGTCACAGGCTGCACAGGATTCCAGAAACACCCACCTCTGTTTATGAATAGCACATTTCCCCAGATGACTCTTGGCTATCTAAAAAAAGCAGTCTGCGTAGGATATGAAAGAAAGAAGTGTTGGTAAAAATATTCCCATCTTCCCCTTTCTTCTGATTCCAGGGAGGATGTATGGAGCTGATGACTTTTTGCCAGTCCTGACCTACGTCATAGCTCAGTGTGACATGTTGGAACTGGACACTGAAATTGAGTACATGATGGAGCTCTTAGACCCATCACTGTTACATGGAGAAGGTAACAATTGCTTGAAGATGTGGGAGGAAATGGGGTGTCTTTTTTCAGTTTTGTTTTCATGTTTTTCTTGAGGTGAAACTCACATAACATTAGATTAGCTGTTTTAAAATTTTTTTCATTTTTTTTTTTTTTGAGTGAGAGAGAGAGAGAGAGAGAGAGAGAGAGAGAGAGAGAGCAGGGGAGGGGCAGAGAGAGAGGGAGACACAGAGTCCCAAGCAGGATCCGGGCTCCAGGCTCCAAGGTGTCAACACAGTGCCTGCCTTGGGGCTTGAACCCACGAACCTCGAGATCATGACCTGAGCCAAAGTTGGATTCTTAACCGATTGAGCCACCCAGGTGCCACAGATTAGCTGTTTTGTGAATGGTTCATCAGCATTTAGTACCTTCACAGTCTTGTGCCATCTACCACCACTATTTAGCCCCAAACATTTTTTTATCACCCCAAGATAAAACCCCATACACACTTGGCAGTCATGTGAGAGCTTTTTTGCATTCTTAAGGGTTAAGTATAGTTTTAATTTCTTTGTTGATTTAAAAGAATGTGCTAACTTTTTCCTGATTAGAAAAGTAATGCATATTCATTGTAGAAAATATGGAAAAGTCAGAAAACCACTAAAAATGTAACCCGGCCATAATTATACTTTGCCGAGATTGGTTAATTACAATTAAAAAATATATCATTCAATAGGAAAAGATGCCATTTTTAAAAAGAAGTGGTTTCCTTGAGGAAGAAGGAAGGTATAAACTTTTGTCAGGGAATATTTTCACCACCAGAAAAATATCCTGCTGTTCTATCAGTAAGACGGATGAAGGCTGGCCTTTTGTTTTTCATCTTTTTAAAAAATTTTGTTCTCAAGATGAAAATAGCATTGATTTTATTTTCTCTATAACAAATTATATTGGCATGCTGTTACCATAAAATGCAGTGGAGTAAAACTGGGCAGTTTGCTTTCAACTTACCTTGTCAGTTCAGTCTCTTTCTTGCGACTGCCTGACCCCAACATGTCTTCGCAGAAATTCCTTCTCCTTACACATCAGTTAGGTATTTTATCCTGGAAATAATTGGGATGCTTGTCATTGTGGTGCCCAGCCTTGAAGGGCAGAAATAACTGGGACTCTTATGTGAGTTTGTTTTTTTAAAGGAGAATAAATCAGGGCCTGTGCATTGTGAATCCCATTAATCCATTTCCATGTGTCCCGGTGAGAGTCCAGATAGACCCTGAGTAGTGAATTGTTGCACAGAATTTTTTTAAGTCTTTTCTCCACTGAGTTTTAGTCTGGCCTTCAGTAGGAAGGTCCACGTGCTGATAGGATTCTGCAGGGAATGTGTCATACTGGCATTTGCAGAGCGTCTGTCCTCCCTGAAAAGAAAGCCAAGGTGTGCCTCATACCTCGGGGTACACTTTCCCACCCCTCAAGGGATAGTGCTGACTCAGGATTAGTGATGGATATCTTTTCATCCTGTCCCCGCACTCCAGAGAGGTATGAATGAGCCCCTTTCATCCCTTTCAAATTTTTTTTTTAACGTTTATTTATTTTTGAGACAAAGAGAGACAGAGCATGAACGGGGGAGGGTCAGAGAGAGAGGGAGACACAGAATCTGAAACAGGCTCCAGGCTCTGAGCCGTCAGCACAGAGCCCGACGCGGGGCTCGAACTCACGGACCGCGAGATCGTGACCTGAGCCGAAGTCGGACGCTCAACCGACTGAGCCACCCAGGCGCCCCTCCTTTCATCCCTTTCAACCTCTCCCTCATTTACCCCGCCCCACACCCCCCGCCACTAGTATTCACTACCCTGCAACCAGACATCCCATGATGAGCCACCAAGATCCCGCCTGAAACTTTCCTCATTTGCTCTGTCCTTGGATTTAACAGGAGAGGGGAAAGTGTGTGGTTTTGTCCAAGGACCAACAGGAGCACACATTAGTCTCCATGCCCTGCTTTCTTTTCTTCTCTGCATTATCATTATAATTTCATAGATATCCGAGCTTTCTTCTAGTTTTAGTTGTTTTGAGCTCTAATCCTGCTTAATTCTAGAAATGACTATGTCAGACTCTTGGGGCTTTTAGGGAAAGGGCATGTCAGTCCCTCTCAGAAAATTACCATTCTGTTGCTGACAGTGTATACTTAGGACAAACATATGCTTACATCGTGTGGCCTGGGGATTGAGACAGCCACTTCCTGCCACCTTTCCCAGTGTTTCCCCAGAGCAAGGCACTGCCCTGGGCACTGTGTTGGTGACAGATGGGCAGGTGGCTATCCTCACCTCCAGGAATCATATGTCAGAGAAAGCCAAGGATCCAGATAAAGTATAGGGCAACTGGTGAGCTTGTACTTAAACTAGAGCCTGCCTCTGGTTAGCTGTCTCGGGCTTGTTGGCTTCTTTCCTTGGGAAAGCAGGCTGGCCCAGTCGGGTTGGCTGTGGGTACAGACCAGGCCTACACATCAGGGAGCTGAAGCTTTGCAGACTGAGGGGAAGACATACCTTACCAATCCAGCCCTCTGTGGCCTGCCCAAAGCCCTCTTTGGTTTTGGGGGCAGCATCCCACAACTCTTTTCTGCTGTTTAAGCAGGTAGTTTCATTTACAGAAAAGGCGTCATAGAATCCCTCTTGAGTGCACAACTCTTGTGGCAAAGTTATAGTTTTGCTGAAATGTAACCCGTTCTCTAATTGCATCCACATGTTTCAAAGTGTGGTCAGCTTGGTGCTTCCAGCATTTTGACTTTTCTCCTCAGTGCCCTGAACATTTCAGAGCTGCGGAGTCTAAAATATGACATCCAAAGGAAAACCCCGCCCTCCCAAATTTGTCTAAAACTGTGCCTCCGAGTCCCAGCTCCAGTACTGACACCTCCACACAGCCTTTCTCGAATGCTTAAGTCCCTGCTGATTGCTGTTGAAATCCTCTGTGCGGCATTTGAATTCTGTACCACCGAGTTTCACACGCAGCCATGTGCTGATTTGTTCATGGGGAAAATGTTTAGTAAAAATCAGCTACTCAGAACTCTGTACCAACATGTGGGAGATTCCATAGGGAGTTTAAACTCAGGTGGTGGGGCCCTAAGCAAAAATCCTGTTGTGTGCATAGGACCTGTATTACCCAGAGGGGGCTAGATGATGCTACAGTGAAACATAACTCCCCATATCTCAGTCAGTGACCTGAAAACCACAAAGGTGTGTTTCTTTGTAAGTTACATGTCCAATGCAGTTTTCAGGGGACTGTGCTCCTTTCTCAGATGGTGGACCAGCTGCCATTTCGAATGTTGTCACTTGTTGACCAGAGAGAGAGTTCTTCAGAGTCTTGCATTAGAGTTCTTCAGACACCCTGACTTTGGACCATGAACAAAACTCATTTGACCACAACTAACTTCTAGTCCTGCATGAATAAACCTGCCAATACCTGTTTTCTTTAATAAATTCATAAACTTCTATAAAGCAGGGACTCAGGTATCATTTCTTACAAATCTAGCCCCTGCTATATACTTCCTTGGGCTCACAGTAGAAATTCAATAGGTATTTTGACAAGACTATCTCTCAAGTTAAAATATGCTGTGCCCAGGGGCACCTGGGTGGTTCAGTTGGTTGGGCATCCAACTTCGGCTCAGGTCATGATCTCACGGTTTGTGAATTCGAGCCCTGCATCGGGCTCTGTGCTGACAGCTCAGAGTCTGGAGCCTGCTTCAGATTCTGTGTCTCCCACTCTCTCTGCCCTTCCCCTGCTCATGCTCTGTCTCTCTCTCTCCCTCAATAATGAATAAACGTTAAAAAAAATTTTTTTTAATGCTATGCCCAGCTAGGGAATTTTTATTTAAATTCCAGTTAGTTAACATACAGTGTGATATTAGCTTCAAGTATGGGATTTAGTGATTCATCACTGATATGCATCACCCAGTGCTCATCACAAGTGCCCTCCTTATTACCCATCCCTAATTACGGAATTTTTATACACATATGGGGCACCCACTAGTGGTCTGCTAGCAAGGAGCTTACAAGTTCCACCAAAAGCACCTAATTCTAATTTAGGACAAAGCTATGAACCCACTTCTAGGCATCTCATGGTGTTGCAAGTCTTTTAACAATCCTCAAATGTAAGAAATCGTTCGTAAATGCACCATTAAAGAGACATCACTTGCTTTTCCTTGTGAGTTATTTCTTCCTAAGTGTCGTGTTACATTAGTCCCCGAGTAAAAGTAAAAAGGGGAATGAGGAAAGAAAAAGTTACTGTGAAGAATCCGTGTTATCGTGAACATACGTGTAGACTGTGCAGTTCTTTCAAAGTGTGTAGTTTACTCAAAATTTAGAGAATACTAATTCCTAAAAGAAAAACCTAAAAGTAAGTATTCCCAAGAGATGTGTGGACCCCTGGTCGTGAAGTAAATGATTCTGGCTGGGAGTGGTCGACCCCACTAACCCTCATATGTCTCCCTGCCTCCATCAGGACTCAGTGCCCTGACCTTTCCCAGCAAAGCAGTTTCACAATTGCACTGAAATAATTTAGAGATTTTATACGTTTCACCCATTAGAATGGAAATTCCATCAATGAAACCGGGGCGCTGTCAGCCTGGCCCGACGGCGCCCCCTAGCGCCGGCACAGGCCGGGGTCACTCAGTGCATCCATAGGATGAATGCATAAATGGTCGGAGAAAGGTGGGAAGGACGTGTTCTTGGACGCGAGCTTCTGGTCCCACAAGGAAATGCCTATGGAGAAAATAGGAAGCATGACCTCTGATTCCATTGTCCCCACTTGTTATCACTAGAGTATAAACCCCTGGAGAACTCATTCTTTCTGCCCCTTTCCAGGAGGTTATTACTTGACAAGCGCCTATGGGGCACTTTCTCTGATCAAGAATTTCCAAGAAGAACAAGCCGCAAGACTGCTCAGCTCAGAGACCAGGGACACCCTGAGGCAGTGGCACAAACGGAGAACCGCCAACCGGTCCGTCCCCTCGGTGGATGACTTTCAGGTATGTGGCTGGCCGTGGCAACCTGGGGCCATGTGCTGCTTTGCCCTCCAGGGAGGCAGCGCTGGCTCACACTGCCCACACAGCTTGGGGTGCCTGAGGTTCCCCCCTTTGTCAGGTCATCCAGTGGAAAAGGGATATTTTAAACCACCGTCTGACCTTGTTGTTTCGCTTCTCTGTGTTCTTTGAATTAAAAAAATATACATATATAATATATAATTGTTATATATATATACAATTATATATATATATATATATATAT